TTAAGACTTTGGTAGTAAATAGATTTCGTATTTATTTAGCATTATATTTTATTGAAACGCTCCAAGTGCCTGTGGTCCTTCTCGTACGCTTGCTCAATGACACATTTGTGTTAGTGCTATCCGCGTGGCTGCCTCTGTATCCCTCCTCCCCCTCCTCCCCTCCCCTCCCCTCCTCCCCTCCCCTCCCCCGGGGCAGTCTGCAGCTATAAACACCTGCCTTTACCTCACAAATCTCCTCCTCACACTCACTCATACCCATGTACGATCTCGGGGAGTTTTGCGAATATAACCTTCAGGTGTATTGTGTTGTTACGGCAACCGTCACTGACGTTTGCACGTACTATGTAGGGCTGGTGTTGTAATGCATGCATGCATGCTGCTGCTGCTGCTACTGCTGCTGCTGCTGTTGCTGCTGCTGCTGCTGCTGTTGCTACTGCTGCTGTTGCTACTACTGCTACTGCTGCTGTTGCTACTGCTGCTGCTACTACTGCTACTACTGCTACTGCTGCTGCTACTGCTGCTGTTGCTACTGCTGTTGCTGCTGCTGCTGCTGCTACTGCTGCTACTGCTGCTGCTACTGCTGCGGCTACTGCTACTTCTGCTGCTGCTGCTGCTGCTGCTGCTGCTGCTACTGCTGCTGCTACTGCTGCTGCTGCTGCAACTACTGCTGCTGCTGCTGCGTGTGCCTGGTCGTGTCTGAGTGACTAACGATCATTGCACACAGATCCGCTACCTGCTTTATAAACTTATAAAGACGGTCCGTGAAATTAGGTCACCTCGTTCCACGCAGATATAGAATGCAGCCGAAATATTTCACAGAAACCCAATAACACGGACGCATAGGCACGCACGCACGCACGAACGCACGCATACACACACATTCACTCACGCACGCACGCACGCACGCGCGCATGATTTTGGCACGTGTGAACATTGATTGGGAAAACAGCAGCAAAACGGTTCAAATATAATTCCTGTCTGTGTATTTTGTATATTTACGTAAGCGCCGTACTTGTTCCTGTACTTGCACTCGTACTTGTTGCTGGTCCGTACTAATCCGTCATTGACCGTAAATAAACATGTACGTATATTAACCACCCCACAGTGAGCGAGCTTCCGTGTTATGTAGATGCCTATTCCCTATACATGCATATATGAATACTCACACACACAGCCCACCGTGTATAAGCTAGCTCCTCTCTATATATGCACGCCCGCAGGCATACATACTATACACACACACACGGCCACAAGCGTCTGTGTACATACGTTGTTGCGAATTCTAGCGTTTTCTGGTAGAGTAGTAGACTGACTGACTAGACCAGGAAACGCCCAAATACGTGACATCTCCCTCTCTGTGTGTGTGTTCTCTCTCTCTCTCTCTCTCTCTCTCTCTCTCTCTCTCTCTCTCTCTCTCTCTCTCTCTCTCTCTCT